CTCTGAAAATCGCCTAGGTTTTTTAGATTTTGGAGACTGAAGGGTTAGCACTGGATACATCCAGTGTTTTTGAAACCAGACGTAGGGCTGCTCGATTATGGCAAAAATGATAATCACGATTATTTTCACTGAAATTGAGATCTCGATTATTTGACGATATTTATTTAACAATAACAATGTATTGAATAATGACTTTAAAGATTGTCAAAAAAAATTATATAGTAGTGTGCAAATACTGATAACAGTGCAAATACTGATTGCAATATAAAAAATAAATGAAAAATGTAAACATCTATGTTTAGTGAACTTTGCAGTGTTGCTCTGTGGTGCAGCTACGACACTGTAGCAAAGTTTACACACTATGTCAACTTGATCCACGTCTGACTCCGCGAACCCATAATGTTTCCACACCACTGAAGTTTTTTTTTTACCTCTCTTTTTAACCAACGGCCGTCACTTTCCTCTCCAAATAACTTCTGCTTAGCTTTCCGAGCTTCCCTCGGGTCCTCTTAATCAGCGGTCCCCAACCCCCGGGCCTCAGACCGGTACCGGTCCGTTAGTCGTTAGGTACCGGGCCGCGAGAGTTGAGGCTCAGGTGTGAAATGTATGGTTTTTATCGGTTTTCAGCGTTATTTTGTTATTGTTTTTATCGTTTACTCGGTTTTCCTGGGTCTTTTCATGTGTGTTATGAATAAATTTTCTTTTTTTCGTTGTATTTTATTTGTATATTATTTTGTTGTATTTATCCGCGACACCTTAAAGGCCGGTCCATGGAAATGTTGTCGGGCATAAACCGGTCCGTGGCGCAAAAAAGGTTGGAGACCGCTGCTCTTAATTGTTGTGACATGTGTTCGAAACGCAGAGAGGTGCGCTCGATTTGCCACACGGAGCAGCGTGAGAGTAAAGCACGAGGGAGGGGCTAATAATCGGCTCAGTCATTTTTAATGATAGTTGAAAGCCCAGATCGTAATCGAGATTAAAATTCGATTAATTGAGCAGCCCTAACCAGACGTGTGGAGCAGATGGCCTGTGTCTGGCATGTTTATCCTCCCTCTTGACTGTAACTGTGCTCATCATTTTCAGAGTAGCTTAGTCTTAGTTATGAAAAAAAGTGTTTTGCGGTCAACTGTTTTCTAGAGAAGAGAATTACTTACACATGCAAACCTTGTTATTTGGAACTGTTTAATGTGGGCATCTGGTGGGGATTTGGTTATTGAGCATGCATCAAGGAATTGCAGCATCCACGTGCAGATGTCTAAAAAGTTGGACATCTGGGCGTAGCATTTTCAGGTAAGTAAATCACCAAAAGTTGATTCTGTTTATCTGGATGTAGCGTTTTGTGGGAGAAATGTTTTGTCACTCATCCAAGTGACTTCTAGCTCCGAAACCACCAGAGAAGTCTTCAGTCTGGAAACTGAAGAAGTCACTTGGACGAGTGACAAAACGTTTCTCCCACAAATGAACAGAATCAGCTTTTGGAGATCCAAGTGACTTCTTCAGTCGATAAAGAAGGATCAGCGATGAAACTTTTCTCTCACTGAAAACGCTCCATCCAGATGAACAGAATGTTGGGGGAAGTTAATAATAACTTGATGTTTGATCAATTTCTTCTAAATGCGTGTAAACAAAAACCTCACTCTGCCGTCAATTAATGTTTAGTTGGTGTCCTTCACAGGTGGATTTGGTGGGAACTTCTACGGCAGCGACAGCTACGGAGGAAATTACAGCCACTCGGGTAGCGTGGATTGGTGGGGAAACTAGTCACCATAGGAATAGGTTGCCATGCCAACCCAATGGAAACCACATGTTGACTTAAGCCAGACCATTAAAAAAAGAAAAAACCTTCCCTGTGTAGCTTCACTGACACACAGTACATTACCAACCCTGGTTCTCTGCCATTCGCTTCTCGAAAAGGAAGTGCAGCACGAAGCAACGGAACGTCACCAGCACGTGCAGCACGCCGGAGACCGCAGAGATTTCGCACACCTCAGAGTGAGCATGGATGCTGACATGCATTGTCCGACAGCAACCTCGGACGTTCGTCGTTAAAAGTATTTTTGTTTTGTTTTTTTTGTTTTGTTTTTTTTTTTTGTTTTTTGTGGGGGGGAAACCCAACCGAGTAGCCTGAGGATCATTTGTATGTTAATGTACTGTGCCTTTTGAATTTAAACAGGAAATCTATGTTTTCATTTCACCAGATGAACCTGGCCAAGAGCTAAAATTTGTTTTACTATGACTTTGTTTGGTGAAAAATATTAAAGGGGTAAAATAAGCTTGGATTTGATCAAACCTTGGCAAACACTGGGATGTTGTGGCTCTCAGGAGTCATGACTCCATTTGAACTTCAAATTTATTACAGGAACATCATGTAGCCTTTTCTATACTCAAACAGCTAATGGAGCCATTACTATATCTAATACAAACTGGGCCACTCTGTGAGGTGACCGTATTTTAATCGTAAGAGACAAAGTTACATTTGTGTTCTTTTTTTGCTCACTCTATCCTGGACAGGCTCCTTTTTTACGGAAATGGTAGTCTTTGAAATAGCCATTCCTATCGTAATCTTAAGAAACACAGAAGTCATTAAGCTCAGTGCCAACAATTGCTGAGGTTGATACAAGAATAATAAATGCTGGAACTTGTTACTCCATGCTTTTCAATTGACTTGACAGTGTTACGGCAGCTAGTATGTTACCAAGTGCTAGCTACATTAAGTGGGCGGTGTTTTGTTCCTTTTTTGCGTGAGACCTTTTTGATGCAGGTGCGTGAAAAGTAAAAAAAAACTGAGTCAGGTTTTGCTTTGTTTTCTTGTTTGTTTTTTTTGTTTTTGAATAGTTTCTCTACAAATGTGTAACAAGACAAATGCCTGCCATCTTGAAAGTGAAGTTCAAAATGGCTGCATAAAGGACCACAGCATCGGGGGGGCATAGCGCAGTGTTAGTGTTTACCTGAATCGACCTGCAATCACGAGGCCCACACGGTATTCTACGCTTGCAAGTGTTTTGTTTTTTGGTCAAGGAGAAAGGACACGTGAACTGAGTCGCAGGCTTAACTTAATTACAAACGTTTTCTCTTTTCAAGCTGCGTTGGAGGCATGGTTCATCTTAAGGAGACAGGCATTTGAATAATCACTGAGGTTTTTCAATTAAACAGCAAGGAACAGATGCAGGTTAGAGGAACACTCCGACCACTGGGGTTAGGGCTTTAGGGTGGGGGGGTTGTAGGCGATGGGCGCAGCTTTCAGTGCACCGCCATTGTCAGTGGCTTTGGTTTCCATCGCTGCGTATTGTAACTGTGGATGTGGCCAAAGACTGGGGGGGTTGGGAGGGGTGGTGTCTACTTCCTTTAAGAAATATTTAAGTACTGTCAGGTCTTCTGGGAGTTCATCTGCTCAGAACTGTATAAAAATGATAAAGACAAAAAAAATCTGTGGCTTCGTGAAGCCAGAGCAGGCTTCTCCTCTTAAAGAGGAGCAGCCGTGGAGAGGAGGGGAAGACACGCATGGGGCGTTTCACCTCAAAATGCTCCCAGTTTTCTCATCGGGTTTGTTGTGCCTTGAACTTTTTTTATTTAAGAAATCAAAATAAAAGTGGATGCACTGACAGTGTTGAGAACTTGAGATTGAATGGTGCTACTTGATTTAGGTGTGTAGGCCCTCGTATGTTGTGCCCATCGAGTTTTACGAAAGTTGTTTTATTGCACATCTAGAGTTTTATATAGATGTCTTGGATATGTGTCCTTAAGCTTCCAAATATTGTGTGAGGAGACAGAGGAGGAGAAAAATAACGCAGCTTGTTTACAAAGGGGAAGGGTTCTCAATGTTAAAAACCAGGATTTATTTGGGACCAGGGGATTTAGCAGTCGGGGGAATTTAGCCATTTGCACAGATTTCTAGATTCTACTTTTGCTGCTAGTTTTGTGTAATTTATTAAGCATTTTTGACAAATATTTATTTTTGTAAGCCTCAGAGTGATTCTTTGAAAGTTTCAGAAACTTGACCAAAAGACAGTTCAAAAAAAACACTGGCACTTGAATGTTGAATGTCACCTGTATGCGTGAAATTTATATATTTCGGGGTAGTGTGAGCTTTTTAATGTCGAAGATACATTGGACTCAGTAAATAATATCCACAGCTGTTTCAGGGCCTCCTCGGGGCCAGTCATCTCTATTAGATAATACTAATTGGTCAACGAAATTTGAAACAGAATCTTAACAAACATGCCAAGGTTTGGTATAATGCTGTCTAAAAAGCAAATAAATTTCCTAAGCATATCAGTGCAAAAGTGTTCAGATTCTCCAATTGTGTGCATTAATAACTCTTTATTCTAATTTGACCTGATTATTTTTCTCCAGTGAATGTCTGGCACATGGCAATCCTTAAAGAAACAAACATGTGGTTTATTCTCATTGTTGTATTTGCATATATGACACCTCTGGGGTTCTCTGGGAACGTGGAGCAGGTCTGCAGCGCTGATCTTTTACACGGCAGCTCTTTGGGCTGCTGCGGATTAACAGGAGGCTCTGTGCATGCTGACTGCAGGCAGAACCCGGAGACTTGCTCCACGGTCTGCGGAGAACCTCTGAGCTCTTTAGGTGTAGACTTTGCTTTCTGTATTAGCTTATAGGTAACTGCACTGCATGGGAAATACTCAGCTGTGCAAATTGTATGATTTTACCAAAATAAAATGTTTGAATGCAAAAGTATCTGGGTAAATCAAGCATGTTTCATCGAAGACTTGTTTGACATAGACATGCAAAGAAAACCTGTAGCAAACAGCCTGTGGCCAACGGCCAGCAAAATTCAATTTAATAATGATTGGATGGATGGGTTTCATTTCTTTTGAAGAAACTACATAAAGATTTCATTTGTAAATTAAACTGTGTCAGTTGATTTACTTTTTTGTTTTTCTGCTGAGCTCAGTGTGTCACCTCTGGTTTTGTATTTGCTGGGATTCCAGCTTATTCTCAGTCTAATCACAGGTGCGCGACTACAGCTGATCCATTAACGGGGCAAGGGGGATGCTATAGTTTACTGTTGCTGTTCCCAACACCGCCGAATGAGAATGGACTAAATACTTGAGTACAGCTTTAATGGACTTAAGTATTTCTTGAGCTGCTTTCCATTACTACTTAACTACTGCGCATTTCTAGTCAAATATTCAAGTTTCTGGCAGCTTGCACACATTAAAGAGGACTGAACGGTGCTCCCATTCATGAAGCTGTCTCTCAGTTGTAGACTGACAGTGGATATGCCTTCCTCCTTGAAAGCTTCTTGTCTCTGACAGGTTTAATTGGAGTTCCAGTGACCAAATAACATTTCAACTCCTGATCTTTAATCGATTTGATTTAATGCCGTAATGAGGGAACAGGCCTCGTGGTCATGAAACTGCTTGTCCATCAATTTTCCAATTAATTTCAAGCCTTTGACAAACAGTAACTATGCGTAAAAATGTCTAATTGTTAAACAGGTTATGTAATTCTTTGTAAAATCCCTTCAGTTAAGTCTGCACTTGATTTAATATCCAGTGTAGTGGTATACAGGAGCAAATTCACATGGTGTGAATGCAGTACATCTTAGAAAGTTTGAATACCTCACTCGCAGCTACAAAGACGAAGTCAGGTTATGTTTTCATGCCAGTGCACAGCAATGAGGTCGCTGAATTCAGTCGAGACATGTGACTTAAATCTCAGGCATGACCTAGATTCAGAGGGCTGCCCTTCCCTGTATGCTAATATTCTCTCCACCTATTGTGGAGAACCACATGTTCAAGGAGCATGGGAAGCTTGTGTGCAGAACTTTCTAGTGAAACCCATTCTAATAAAATAAAGAAGAAAAAAACTGACCTGTGTTTTAGTCCTCTACAGATGGTCTCTACTTTGGCCATCTGTGGCAGCTTTTTAGGCAGTCAGGACACACAACAAATACATATCTTTCATCCTACATGAAAAGCATGTTTAGTCCAATTTTCCAGGGGTTTTCATGTTACTCTTAAAAGGTCACATGGTCTCTAATGTGCTGAGTAGGTTTCATAACCACTGAGTCAGTGACACCCATTGAAAGCCTGTTGTATAATTTCTGTGTCATGTTGTGAGAATGAGGTTTTAGGGTCATTTAAGAGCCTCAGATATGGGGAAAGATGCTGATCCATGAAGCTTGTATGGCACAGGCAGCCTTATTTAACTAACTGCTCTCAATCGCTTCTCTCCGACCCAGCAGTGACGACTCGATAAATATCTGTTCCCTTTCAGCATCTGCATTATTTTCATAAGTTTGACATCCAACATTCACTGCTCTGTCTCTGCAGTTTGATATGACAGAGGTTCACTTTACTTCTGTAATCCTGCCATCCGCTCTCCATCACTCCACTCTACCCAGGGGATTTGGCTGCCATTAAGAGATGGCTTTTTGATGTGTGTTTTCCATCATGAACGCAGACAGGCACACGCACGCGCATTTGGTGAAGTGGGGTGGATGAAGGGTAAAAAAATGCAGCATTTTTTGTTGGGGAACCGTGGCAGGCAGAAGCTTCCGCTCAGCTCGCTCAGTGATGCTGTTGAAGGTGCCCTTTGTGGACTGACATGGGATGGACACATGCATGACTATTTGGGCAGTGACGTTTGGTACACATGGATGCAACTTTGTGGAAAGAGCTACAGGTATGTTGCTTTGAATTTCTTGGATTTCCTCTGTGATTTGCTGTAAATTTAGCATCGCTGTAAAGACCGACTGTCTGTGGTTTCCTGTCGTTAACAGATAAAACTATCCAACCACACTAGATCATCTAAAGATCTCCAGCAGCATTTGTATAACTCATAATTGCTCATCATTAAGATCTCTCTTTGTGCCATTTCAGACCTCCGTTAATCCTGGCATGTCCCAGATGAGCGGCTACAGTAATGACTGTCATCATTTTCACTGGTCAGTCTCAATCTCTTCTCTCTTCCACTGTTTCTGGGCTCATTTGACTTAGTTTCTTCTCCTGCTTTCAGAATTGCTGTGGCTCCATCAAAGACTAACCGATCAAACTGCAAGGCAGGGCTGAATTTGAGCTAATGCGAACCAGATCAAGAGTGAAAGCACAGGCGCAGACAATACTTATTGTTGTGGAGCTAATCTCTGATATAAGCTTGTCTTTCTTAATCACATCATCATTTCAAACGGCCAGTTTAGCCTTCGGGCCACACATCGACGTCACTCAAACATCTAGTCTTTAGTTAAGCACCAGTGTCCTGCTGTGGATGCAAAATCTTTTTAATATCAAAGATGTATTTATTTATTTTTAATTCATTTTATCTTTTTATTTACTGATGATAGTAGACTTTGAAGGATTTGATGAATCAAAAACATCAAAAACTTGCGAAAACAATATTGTTTTCATGTACAGCAATACGGAGAAATAACAAATAAAGGAAATATTATGAAACACACATCATGAAATGTGCTTGTAGTGGGGTACACATATACAGAATTTCCCAGATTGGATAAATAGTATTATATATTGTATTACTGTTATTGTTCAACAATGATAATTAAAATTTATGTTCAAGGTTAGTCGTTTTGCCTCTTATAATATTTTTAATGATTATGTTGTATCTTAGTCAAGCGCTTTTTAAAAAATCCTGTCTGTTGTTTGAATCTGTCACAGTATTTCTGACCAATTTTTGGATGCATAAAAATAATTTCTGTAATTAATAAACGATCAAAAATAATTAAATTCATTGTCAACAAACAACTACAGCAACAAAAGGAAAACCTGTAAAGTTTTTTGGGGTTTTTGTTGATTCCACCTTGGTGGCTTCAGGATCTCGTCTCTACTTTTTGTGGATGACGTGGTTCTGTTGTCCTCAGCAGATTTCGTTCTCTAGCTTGCACTTGAGTGCTTCACAGCTTTGTATAAAACTGCAGGAATGAGAAATAGCAGCTCCATGTCCAAGGCCATGGTTCTCAGTAGAAAGAGGTGAGGTGGCTGACCCAAAGTGGCGGAGCTCAAGTATCTTGGGTCTTGTTCACAAGTGCCAGGACTTGACGGACAGATTGGATCACTGCAGACAGTGCCCTGATCTGTTGTGGTGAAAAAAGTTCAGATCATGAATACAAGTGTTGGAAATGAACTTTCTCTGAATGGTGGTTGAATGGGCTCACAAAAAGGATGAGGTACAAAGTAGAGCTGTTACTCCTCCAAATCAAAAGGAGCCAGTTCAGGTGGTTTGCACATCTAATTAGGATGCCTCCTGGCTGCCTCCTGGACGAGGCGCTCTGGACATGTCCTACTGGGTTAGGACAAACCTGCAGGACACTGGCCCTCGAGGCCTGGAGTTGGACACCCTTGGTTCAGGCTGTTGCCCCCGAGAAAGGGAAAGTAGAAGAGAATGGATGGATGGTTTGTGGCTGAGCAGTATGACAAGTCAGATAAAGCAGCATATATTTATTTTATACTAGAAATAGCTGTCATATTCATGTACCATTCATGGTGTTTACACATTTCAATTTCCAAATGTACTTTGTGTACAAATGTACACATGACCAAGAAACGCATGACTCAATGAATGAACAGTGAAGTGCATGTAAGGTCAGTCATTCCACTGGGCTCCAAGCAAAATCAGATTATCTGCCTTTGAAATGCCTTTAATATCCCGAAGCTCATCCAATTTTGTTTCTTTCATCCAAGAAACACAGCAAAAATCAAACTTCTGTGAAAACTTAGTACACAGTTATTCAGATTGTTGTTTAGACTTGCATGTAAAGTAGTTCTTAAATAGTCCAAAACACAGCAGCTAGGCTGACAATCACACATTAAAGCAAAGTCTAATCTGAGTGAGTGGAACCGGTGGTTTGCACTTAGTCGTAAACTGTTTATTTTACCTTTCGTGAAAGTGCATCTTAATTGTAACCTTTGACAGTGGACTCCTGTCTCTTTGAGAATGTTTTTCAGTTAGTTAGAAGCCCGAGCCGCAGTGGCTGAAGCAAAAACCCGGGTGTGGGAGGAGTTCGGAGAGGCCATGGAAAAAGACTTTCGGACTGCCTC